AGTTTAAGAACCATTTTGGAGGTGAATTCTGAGGATTTTGATTTCGGGTATGACAATGTACAAGCTATTTAGAGTGAAATCAATTAATGGAAGGAAAAGCCTATGAATGGTACTTGGACTCTATTATTGCCTGACCGTGTCAAAATGTAAAAAAAAAGAAGATGAGCAGAGTTCAAGTTAGTCGGACTATAACAAGGCCTAACATTAGATTATATGAGGTAGTTTTCAAGTCTCAAGTAATAATTAAGGCCACTGAAGTATGAGGGATCCCCTGCCATGACTGTACCAACTAAAATTTTAATACATGTGGAGAAGTAAAATTTAACACTTACTCAAGCAAACTCACTGGTCATGCTGGTGAATACAAAATACATTTTGCAACTTGAGATGTGAAGAATGCACTCGACATTTTGGGCAGTTAATTTACTTGGTACTAAACGAAATCTTCGGTGGTAATGTTAAAACACTGACTGTTGACATCCAAGTTGGTAAAAACAGCAAATGGTTGAACTGGAATTGACTAGGCCTGCATGTAGTTGTTTGAATGTTTTGTTGTGTTTAGCACAAGTTGACACAACATGACAACAGTTGAGACTTGAATACAGTAAACTCTGGCTAAGTTCAGCACTCTTCGGACTCAAGAAATTATGCCGACTTGTGCTGTAAGTCGTCATTTTTCTGACTTACACACACACACATGTATTGTCTACGTACATTATGATTCCTTGCACTACTTCACTGGCTTTGATTTATCCAGGTTTATTTCTACCTCCATGGTCGATCCCAGCAAATTCGTCCTCACGGGCTGCAAATTCGATAACTGATCATGTGCCCCCAAGGACAAAGCGAGGACGGCAAGCCACTTGCACATCACAACATGACTCGACAGTGCAGTACGTACTTGTACGTGATACAGTTACAGAACAGAAAACATACACTCATCCCACATACATTGGTTAAGTTCATTAAATAAGGTGACCCCCAAAAATAGACAGAGTGCATGCGTGTAGCACTAGAGGGGTTACTGGTATTGATGTACTCATGCTTATCAACCACGGCCTGCGCTGCTAATAAACATACATCAGTCGAGCAGTGTGGGATTTGTCACTTGACACTTCTTGGCAACCGCAGCGAAGGAAACTGATACCGAAGCACAATTTTTTAATGCCGACTTAGACAAAGGAATTTTTGTGGTTTTGTGGAAAAGGGACCGAGAAAAACATAACGACTTATACGAAATGACGACTTTTACATGCCGATTTAGAAATGAAATTTTCAATGGAAATGCATTAAGACGATCAGGACTTTTGTCAAAAGGCCAACTTAGACGATATGACGAGTTACACAATAGGCCCTACAAACTTAGGCCTACATCATGACTTAGTCGGAGTTTACTGTAGGCCTACAAAGAAATGAAAGACAAACGGTCCAGTTAGCATGGTTATGTTTGAGCTGAGGTGGCAAATGGTCGAATTGACCATAAACCCAAACAACATGAATAAGCATGACTATGGCAATTCACAGTGACTAATGATGTGAAAGAAGAATGCAGTGACAGTGGACCGTGAACATGCTGAATTTCTTAACCCAGTGCGTACATACACTGTATATGATGTACAGTATGTACATGTACATTGTGCGTGCGTACGCGTGACAAGTCAGCAAAACTGCTTCATCAACTAACAGACATGTAATTAAGCTGTAAGTCCACCACAGCTAAAAACCAGGAGGCCGAAAGGATAATGTTAATGTGTGTGTCGAAATTTTTGTACATATTTTCGAGTGAAACTCACCTATTCTTTGCCCGACGGGCGTTACGAACGGATTGGAACCGAAAAACGACATCTTGCAACTGGAAAGACTGGTATGCATACGAGATAGACACAACAGGTACTGCTAGACACTTCCATTGATGAGCTGTTTGTAGGTGGATACCAGCCAGTGACCTTCGACCGTACCAGCCTTGGGCCTTGTGACAAGATACGTAATGTCTATATTAAGACTAATTTACATACGGGATTGCCTTGAGATTGGAATTATGGGTAGTGTTCCTTGACAACTGATTTCCGTGCAAATCTTGAATGAACTGACAAACGTGCTGCTGGTGAAGCCACATTTTCGCACTTTTGCAGGTAATTTTGGTGGAAGAATTTGTTAAATATTGTTTGAATGCTCTGGATTTCTCAATGGCTTCACAGAGCCGCATTTTGTTCAGTTTCATGTGCTGGATGAATTAACAGGCCTAGGGCCCGGGCCCTACATTGCTTTTTCAGCTTTGCCAAAGCAGACTCTGATTATGCAGAATTCCAGCTAGCCTATCCAGCAGACTAGCAAATTAAGTATGATTTACGACAGGTTCAGCTGAGATAAATTTAGCCCAAAAAACAATATGCCCAAGCTAGTTCAGTAGTTCATGACTAGTTCTAGTAGTTGGTACGTTGGGCGTCACTCAAACACAGGATGAGTAACAATGAGAGATTTATGGTCACGGAGCTACTAATTATAGTCCACCTGAGCTAGATCTAGGCTAACGTTTTGCACATAGTCATAGGCTAACCCTGAATGTTTCACCTGCCCAGGCCCAGTATAATTTCTGTGTTGGGTAGGATTGGTTGGATAACGGACAACTCGATCATTGAGACAACTCGCCCAGTGGGACAACTTGACCATCTGCCAAGTCGTCCGTTAAAACGGCGTTAAGACAAGTCAACTTTGACTCAACCGCATGAAGTGTCTACATATATGTATTTTGTTTTCTTGGGTGCAAGGTATTTTTACCCATTCAAATTGTTTGGCATTGCCATTGTGTGCGTTGCATGACGTTGCAACTCTACACTTAGACATAGCGTGGAGTGGCAAAGCTTTCACAGGGCTGACAGACAGCATGGTGGAGTAGCATCCTCCCCTCTCTCGTACTGCCCTGCTCAGTCTAACATTTGCCCAATTTCTCGACACCAGCTTGGTTTTCATCTCGGACTACATATTATGACAATGCACAAAGTTTCAAAAGCGTGTAGGCCTATAAATGAGGCCAGTAATAGTGCTACATGTAGTTAAAACAGTTTCAATTTAACATGTTTCACTCAACAGACAATTTGGCTGAGCGGACAACTCGTGTCAAGGGACAACTTGTGTAAACCATAGTTCTTAACCCTCCTATGCTAAGATGCATTCTTGACACAGTTGTCATATCATTCAAAATCAGTCAAATTTCCCATATGTGTCTGTGTACTGGGGAAAATCAATTGGAAGGCATTTTTGACTGTTTTTGATGGTTAAAACAGAAGAAGGGTTAATGGTCAACTTGTCTCTCTTTTTGACACATACACAGTCGAGTTGTCTTAACAGTTGAGCAGTGCTCTAGCCACGGTGGGCGGCGCCGGGCAGCAGCACCCGGCACTGCAAATTTCCGCCTGGCTCTGGGATTCAAATTGGCTGTGCCGCCCAGTGCGGATTTTCCAAGAAATGAACTGAAATATTACTGAAAGTGTACCAATTCGATCTTATTTCAAGCATCAGAAAGCATTTAGAATGTCTAGCTAGCATTGTTATGAGACCCGAATGTGAAATTGTGGGATATAATGTAGCCTCCCCTGAGGCAGCGTGCACATGTTTGCAGTCTTGGCTCAAGACCAGCCGAAGAGCAGTATCAATAGAGGGCGCAAATCCAGTCTGGCTATGAACCACGAGAGCTCCGTTTACTGCACTGGCTGTGCTTCGCAATCCAAAAATTTACCCGGCACGAAAATAGTCCTAGATAGAACACTGCAGTTGAGTTGTCTCAATGGTCAAGTTGACCCAAGTCCAGCTGGCAAACGGTCGAGTTGTCTGAACCCCGATTGGTAGATCTGCATGATTAGTCAATTGCTGTATGTTGTGGGTCAAGCTTGCCAGAAATCTTTAATGAGTCACATCTTAGAGTGTGTAACTTTCTTAAGATCAAAGTGCAGTTAACAGCAGGCCTAATCTTCTACATGTTTTAGAGCAGTTCAATACTCCATTCTCCGTCATGAGTCGTCTGTATGACACAGTGGAACCAGCTGTGGTCGATGAGGACATGCTGCAGAAGGCCGTTGAAGAGCAAGGTCCCAAGGATGAGGCAGGACGCATTGCCAAGCAGGAAGGAATTGACTTCACTGATGTCACACAGCTGCGATTGGACTTCAAAAGTAAGGCACATGGGGGGGGGGCAGGGGTATAAAATGTCAAATTGATCTGTTATTCTCCTCGCCCCTCCGAGGTGCTTCCATTTTTCCCGTGTAGAGATGTGCTGTGTGTGATTAAGAAATATCAAGACAACACTGACAACCTTCTGTTCAGTCCTGCGCTGTCATCTAACTCGCCTTGCTGCACAATTATGGAGCCCTTGAGGATTATTTTTGGCTTCTGCCAATACATTTCACAAACTAGCTGAGCAATAATTCACTTCCGACTGAGTTGTGATCATCATATGTCCTTTCAGATCCCCTCGCCTCTAAACATTACAGCGTTTCATTCGTATCTTTTACAACACCTGGTCTTTATTTGAGCTATTTAGATGTCCACTTTTGAAATTTTGGCCTGTGGCCAACACTGAGTAGCTCATTTAATGCCTCCAGGAATAAACCCTTCTTTTTAAAACTTTTAATGATACTTGCGACTGAATTTCCTCCAATTTGGTACACAGCTAGAACTTGAAGCAAAACCAAGAACCCTTGCATAGATGTTTCAGGGTATTTATTTCATCATTATAAATTAAATTCAGTTTAATGTACTTGGATTGTAGATGATATTTGAAGCTTTCCTAGTGGAAGTTGCAAGTTTAAGATTTGTGGTTCCATATGGAACATATCTTTTGTGAGGTTCTGATTCTTCGGTTCTTTTCAGAACCATACGTACATACATAAGAAGTACATATATTTCACTTGGTGCTACCGCAAACCTTCTACTTTTACTTGAATCTCGGTAGAACGGGTAGCAAGTCATGTATGTAGCTTTATAACCCACACATATAGACTCAATGTTATATGCAATGCTGTGGCTAACAGGGAAGTTTACCTGACTTGCGATCAAATTGTCCACCCAACAGACATACTGAAGGTCGACAACCTGTGGCAGTTCAAGAACCTTGTGAAATTGCAGCTGGACAACAACATCATTGAGAGGATAGAAGGTCTGAATACACTGAAGAACCTGGTGTGGTTAGGTGAGGGTGCATCAAGCAAGTTGCTCATGTCTGTACAAGAAACAAGGAGCTGTCGCCTTACCCAGCTTCATTACCCTCCCTTCTGTTTCATTCATCGAAACATAAAGAATCTCTGTGACTTTCATCGTGTGCGGTGTGTGAAATCAGGCCTAACGAGTGGTTGGACAAACCATACTAGCAGGATCGGTTTCTTTCTGCCATTTCCAGTTGTTGGTAGGAGAGGGTCATGTGAGAACACACTCACAGTTTGAATATCAAATGCACAAAAACCAAAGCAAAAACATAGTGAAGATTTTGTGTATGGGCGTTATACCTAAGTTACGGTTCCTTCAGATATTTTGTCAGACCACATTTGGTCAAATATCAAAGGTGGTCAGAAAATAAGTTCAGGCTCTGATGTGTGTATGGGAAAATTGAAGAACACGGTCTTGTGGAACAAAACAATTCTCAGCACATTGTTTTCTGAAGCAAAAATCAGCCAGGAACCAGTCACCGTACGATACACACCAAGTAATATTTTAACTGGTAACCTCTTTCGGCCATTAAATATTGTCCAGGCTCAGCAAATGTCTGTGCATAGCGGCTCCTTGAAATTAAGTCCAGAATACAAACACACCTGTCAGCGATGAAGAAAACCAGAAGATTGCAATAATAGTGGCCTGGTATTTTGTGCAGATCTGTCCTTCAACAACATTGAGGTGATTGAAGGCCTGGACAGCTTGACCAACCTGGAAGACTTGACCCTCTACAACAACAGAATCACAACACTGGAGAACATGGACAAGCTGACCAAGTTACACGTCTTCTCCATCGGCAATAACAATCTCAACACTCTGGAAAATGTAGGTGATTTCTTCGGATGGAATTTCGGCGTCGGGGAGATGTCAGTTTAATACTGGGTTTCCCCGTCACCAGGGTAGTTTTCTTGGGCATGATAGGTGGTTGTTCACCATCACTTGGTCTGTCTGCGCTGTTGGTCAGTCCTGGACGAAATCTCCATCTTTACGTCTTCCACAGCTGTGAGTTGATAAGAAAAGTGATTGACTGCTGGCGGTGGGATTGAAACATTTTGTACAGGATTAAGCGGTAGCAAAGCACAATTGAGCTATTGTACAGATCCATCAATCGTACCCAATATTCTGAAACACGCTGTAAGTTCAATGCTGTGTGATATTTCCTCCATAAAAAGTATAACTTAAAAATATGCCAAAAATGTTTGACAAAATGTAAAAATAGATATTTAGTTAATGTCTATGAATTCAGAATTGTTAGGCTTTAGAAATTCCAGTACTGTAATTGTCAATGTGTCTATCTTTACAGCTGGTATATCTGAGAAAGTTCAAGAATCTTCAGACACTGAACTTGGGCGGGAATCCTTTCTGTGAGGATGAGAACTACAAGCCCTATGTGGTGGCTCATGTCCCAACGTTAGTCTACCTGGACTTTAGATTAATTGATCAAAATACGGTAAGTGCTAGCTCATGTATACGGCAACTACACTGTTTATGACTGTATCATGCAATCTCTCTTTGGGGATGTTTTCACTGCATCTCTTACTGAGATCGTATTCCGATGAATCGCTAGATACATCCATTTTGTTTTGATGGGGATGCTCCTTCATGTTAAAGCACCGTAAAAATTTACTCAAACAGTCAAAAACTTTTTTACAGCTGAGTTGCAGTAAAGACTCATATGGGTTTGAACCTGTCTCACAAAAAGACATACAATCTGGGACGATCCTCACAAATGCAGGAAACAGAATGTTTCAATTCCTCCCTTGTAACCTGTGAAATATCGCTTGAGCCACCACACATCGATCCACCTGAAATTTTTATTACGCAGTCCAAGCCCAGACATTAACCTAGCAGTCCCCAGTCTTTCATCTTTGGAGGATTGAGGACTGTCAGGATAAAAAAAAGTCTGTGCAAAGCGTCGACCCAAATGACCTTTTATGGTCTTCCTTTAGGGCATGCGCTGTTGGAATACCAAACTGGCTCATTGGAATCTGCATTATTATATTAATCAGTTTGTGAATCTGTGCTTGCAATGTGCAGAGGGCAGCTGCAATGGAGCAGTACCGATACGCCATCGAGGAACTTGTAGCGGACGAAACGGCCTTGGAAAGCAAACGCATCGAGCAGGAAGAGCGGAATAAAGAATTCTCCAGACAGAAGGTCCGTGATGAATAGTTTTATAGTTGAGATCATCACAAGACCAGACACAAGACCAGTCACAAGACCATGCACGAGACCAGTTACAAGTGACAGTGTGAACAATGATAAAGGAATGGTTTTGTTGCAGTTTATTTGAATAGCTTGTGACTTGAATTCAGACTGGAGGTCTTCTGTTGGTCTTGTGAAGGTCTTAAGTGGTCTCAACGACAACGCTGGTGATGAATAAAACCTCTGATGTAAGAATAACCTGTTCTGATGCTTCTAAAATCTGTCCGGAGGTTATGGAATATGTAGCAAGATTTCAGAAGGTGGAACTCGGCCACTGTTTAACCACCTATGTTTGGTACTCAGAAGTCTAGAAGTCTGAGTACAAAGAATATGTTGGTGTTTCCTGTACAATTTGGGGGAATTCTGGAGACTCGAGGACTCCCCTATAAAGACGTCTTAGGAGTATAGGTTAATTTGTGTCTTAAGTTCAACTTGGCAACACTGATATGAAGAGGGAGGGAAAAACTGAAAAGAAATTCTCAAACATTGTCTCTCCACTGTTCCATTATTTAAGTTAGCAGAGGGAGTGTTGTATCAATTGTTTACTTCTCAAGAATGCAGTTTGACACAGACGGACAAGATTCTTAGTCTTTCCCCGATGGGCATGGTTGGAGTCATCACCAGGAGCGCATGCATGGAATAGCGCCTCTGCACCATTGTATACAAAACTAAGTGAACCATTTCCATTCAGAAGAGTGCTTGTGGTTTTTAGGGACGCTACAAAGCAGAGGCACTGACGTGATCAGCCTGCCCATGTGCAGAGGAGGAAAAGTGAACAACTCTTTGCCTCTTACTCTTAATCACTGCTCAGTGCTTAATCATCGGTTTGTACTGCAGGATGCCTATGTTGAGAACCTTGATGGCCCCCATCTCTTTGACAGCATGTTCCACGATGACCCTGAGGCACCTAAGCTGGCTGCCCTGCCCGGTGTTGATGAACTCCTTGTTGTATATCCTTTGTCTGCATTAGCTCTTCCTTAAATTTTCAAAGGAGATAATTTCAGAAGACACAATTGTCAGGTGAAACACTTGGAGGAAATTTGTTTACTACTGAGAGAGGTTGTCCTCAATTTTGGCAAGTCATAGAAGAAAATTACAAGTCAAATTAGGCACCTCCAACCTAACTCTAACTATGAAACCTACCCAAACCTAGCAAAGCCAAACAATCCTAACCAAACCACCCACACAACCCACCTCAACCCAATACAACCCAACCAAACCACTCAAACAACCCAACTCAGCCCAACTCAGCCCAACCCACCCACACAACCCAACCTAACCTGACCCAACCCAACTCAGCCCAACTTACTCATCTTCTAAAACCACTCAGTCTGTTTAACCTCAGGCAAAATAAACATCATTTGGCAACATTGATGAAGCAGAATTGCACAGCCAAAGCATTCTTTTCTGTCACAT